CCATAAGCTGTACTTTGGAAATTTATATTCATTAAATAAAAGTTAAAAAAACTTTTAAAGTGATCATATATCAATAGGATTAAGTTTTAAAGTAATCATATAGGTGGGATTGATTGTTAAAGTGATCATTTCAATAGGATGAAATGTTCACTGCTAATAATAAATAGGATTAAAGAGGAATGAGTGCTCCAACATGGGAAGGAGTCCATACAGCAGACTCATAGAGTGACAATTGCTATAAGTAATGCTCAGTGACCTCAGAGTCAGCCTTAAATGCATTATGGTCTGGCTGAAAAAAGGCCCATGAGAGCAATTCAGATGTGGAAAGCCAGGACACTCATGCAAAAAGTGTCCCTACATGGAGTACCTTCCTGGAAGAGACCTCAGTGGAAAGAAGTGGTGATCAAGGAAGGATGTGCTTTTCTCTGAAGGGAGGAGAGAACTTCCACTCTGCTTATGGCCTTGTCTGAATACTGATGGAATTTGTGGACTCAAAAGGCTTCCATAGCCTAGCCAGCTCATGTCAAGAGCCTCGGGTGATCACTGATATCAAACATAAGAGTGTTAATTGTTAAATTAACAACAGGAGTCACTGTGTACTAACTTCCATGCGGGACCTGTGTCCTCAAAGAGCTATAGTTGTAACATTAATGGTAAAACTTTCCCAAACATTTACTTTGTTCTAGTGTGTTATATTCTTATGTGTCATTAGTTCTAGTTATGTCTATGTGTCAAACTCCGTTGCCTATATTCTTAGGTATTTCTTTAAAGTTTATTAAATGCCTCAAACATGAAAAAAAATAAAGTCTGTGTTATCTGATATCAGGATAGCTATGCCTGCTCGCTTTTGATTTCCATTTGTCTGGTGTATTCTTTCCCACCCTTTACTCTCAGTCTGTGTGTATCTTTGTGAAGTGAGTTTCTTGTGAGCAGAATATAGTAGGGTCTAGGTTTTTTATCCATTCAGCCAACCTAAGTTTTTTGGCTGGAAAATTTAATCAAGATTAATATTGATAGATAAGAACAATGACTTACCATTTTGTTGATTGGATAAAGATTCTCCCTGCTCTGTTAGTGAATTTGGTTGTGTCAAATATTTTCATAATGTTTATTTCTAATACATGATGCCCTTCATAACTTCTTGTGAGGCTGGTCTGTTGGTGGTGAATTCTCCTTTTTTGCTTATCTGAAAAATACCTTATTCCTCCTTCACTTTTAAAGGATAGCTTCACTGGATTTAATATCCTTGGCTGTACTTTTTTAAGACCTTGAATATATCATCCCACTCTGGCCTGTAAGGTTTCCACTGAGAAGTCCAATGTTAATCTAACTGCTTTTTGTTTATATTTAAATTGTCATTTTTACTGTTTTTAGGATTCTCTCTTTGTGCTTAACTTTTGACAATTTGATGACTACAGGCCTTGGAGTAGACCTTTTTAGGTTGAGTCTGCTTGGGATTCTTTGAGCTTCTTGTATCTTGATGTCCATGTCTCTTTCAAGAACTGGGAAATTTTCAACTGTTATTCTATTTAACAGGTTCTCAACACATTTTTTTCCTGTTCTTCTCCTTCAGGAATATCTATAATACAAATATTTTGTTGTTTAATGGTATCCTATATTTTGCATAGATTCTGTTCATTCTTTTTAATTCTTTTCTCTTTGCTTTTGTCTGATCAGATTATTTTAAAAGTCTTGTCCTCGGGGTCAGAAATCCTTTCCTCCTCTTGATCTATTCTGCTGTTAAAGCTTGCAGTCATATTTTTTTTTCACTGCTTAAAGATTTCATCCCCAAAATTTCTATTTGGTTCTTCTTAATGAGTTCTATCTCTTTAGTAATATTTTCATTCATGTTACTCATTGATTTCCTCATTTCTTTAATCTGTCTATTTATATTCTCTTGCATCTCACTGAGTTTCCTTATAATCATTATTTTGAATTCTGCTTCTGTCATTTCATAGATTCCCAGCAGTTCAGAATCTAATTCTGGAGGATTATTGTGTTACTTTGGAGGTGTCGTGCTACCTTGCCTATTTATGTCTCCTGTGTCCCTGCATTGACATCTGCATGACTGGTGTAATTGTCCCTTCTTCTTTATGGGGTAGTTTTTTTTTTTAATCGGGAAAGAGTTTATGATTCAGCTGGAATGCATGCTATCACTGTGCTTATTGCTTTGGCTTCAGTTCTAGGTGAGCCCAGGAGTGTAGTCTCTGATTTATTTTGAGTAAATCAGTGTCAGTTGTGAATATAAGTGACACTGTGTTTTAGTCCACTGCAGTTCACAGGGATAGAAGTGTGGCTCTGGAATGAATATGGGTTTCTTAGTGTTTGTATATTTGGTCCACAGAGAGTTTGGTGTCAGTTTCCCTGGTGATTGTAATAGCCAGGACCTTTATCTTGGTGCTGAGGGCGACACAGATGGCTGAACCCACATCCTACCTGCAAGCCTGAGTGCTCCTGGGGCTTAAGGCACCAGGACAGTGTGATGCTGATAGACCCTTCCTCAGGTCCTGCTAGGAGAGTCCAGCTGGTGCTGTGGTGTAGGACACCAAGATCCCTAGTGCTGGGACTAGAGTGTGAACCCAACTCTCTTCCAGTCCTAGAAGGTGACTCCAAGATGTACAGGAGACTTTATTCTGAGGGTGTGAGTGCAGAGAGGTGGAATGCAAGTAGGTTCTTCTCAAGGTCCACTGAGTAGATTTTAGTGGCATTGAGAAATTTAGAGCTAATTGTTACAGTCCTTGTGTTGCACATTATAGTGGTGTCATTACCCAGTATGCCCAGGGTGAGAGCAGATTTTTTTATGGGCTGCTTCTGTCGTTATCCTCCAGAAGCTAAGGTGAATCCCCTTGGCTCACATAGAGTCTGTGAGTGTAGCCCTGGGGCTGGTGCCCCCAAATTCCCACAGTTGCAGGATACACAGGATATGACCATTGCCCAACACATTGTCCTGAGTCTCATTCTGAGTCTGGTAGGAGTGGAACGGAGGGATGCTGCGTGACTTTGGGCAGCCAAGTGTGGTGCTCTGCAGGGATGAGGGAGAGAAGGGAGCACTGTGGCTTCCCTGGTTGAACCTCAGCAGTTTCTCAGACCCTAGGCAGAAATAAAATCAGTGACTCTGGAATTCCCTCTCAGCTAAAACTGAGTTTCCGGGTGCATAACAATTTCTTGCTTTGTGGTTAAGTTGGCAGCTCCCAGCCAGCCCCTGGCTGCACCTCTTGGCTGGCTGCAGCAGTGTGTCTGTCTTCTCTCCTCTTGTCCCACAGAGTTTTCATTGCTTTCTTAGTTCTTCCCCAAAGATTTCCATCAGATCCCTAGAAAAATGGTCCTCCCTTTGTTCTTTCGTATCACAGAGCAGCTGAAATTAGTGTGGCTGTACCCTTTCCAGCCATCTTGGATACGTCCATTTCTTATTCTTGTCAGCCAGTTCTTTCCACTGTAACTGCATCGGCCTTCATCTGGGGCCTCTTAAAATCAATCACATGTTACCCATTTTATGTCAGTCTGAGAATTTAGCTGAGCTAATCCTTCCATTATGAAGAGCATTTTGGTGCTCCAATGAAGACCCATAATGCAACTCTGTTACTGAGATAAGAAACAATAGCTGTTGGGCTCCTATAACAAATACTCAAGTTTCCAGTTACCTCTGGCAGTGTTATTAACATCCACATAAACACACACAGACATGTATCATTTGCAAAGCTGGGCATCTCAAGACCCTCATGAAGAAGTGCATGCAAAAACTGCCGCAAACCAATGTGAATAACTAACTGGTCTTGTGAGCTGATGTGTTCTTCTTTTTGATACAGGCAGAGCTATGACATTCAGATTGTGGCCCTGGTGAACCAAACAGGCTTCAGGTCTGGGAATGTCCTGGATTTGAAGAACCCATTCTTTAGGTAAGAAATGCCCCTGTCCTTCTCATACACATGTGTATGAAATCTCTATTGCCTAATGACAAGGTAAAGAAGTTTGGAATAATTCCATCTTTCCTGAGAGGAGAAGCGTCTCCTAGTTCTCCTCTTCTCTATGGAGGCATGGTTTCTGATGTAGAGTTGAGTGTTTTACAGTCCACTGATAGAATTCTGTGCAATGGCCCAAGTGCTTGGGCCCTGCACCCGCATGGGAGACCAGGAGAAGCACCTGGCTCCTTGCTTCAGATCAGCGGGGTGCGCCGCGCTGCAGCACGCCGGCCATGGTGGCCATTGGAGGGTGAACCAACGTCAAAAGGAAGACCTTTCTCTCTGTCTCTCTCTCTCACTGTCCACTCTGCCTGTCCAAAAAAAAAAAAAAGAATTCTGTGCTTAACAGTCTAACATTGAAGCAAAGAACATTGGAGAGTCCTAGCACTACAGGAGCTATAATGAGCTGTGAGACTTCAGGCAGAGTGGGTTCAAGTTCTGGCAGAGCTATAATGAGTTATGTGGCCATAGAAAGAGTGGGTTCTGGTTCTAGGGGAGCTACAATGAATTATGTGACTTTAGGCAGAATGGGTTTGAGTTGACGGCAGATCTACTGAGCTGTGACATCAGACAGAGCGGGTTCTACTTCGGGATGAGATATGAACAGTTTTGGGACCTCGGGCAGTGTGTTCTAGTTCTAGAAGAGCTATAATGAGCTGCAGGACCTCAGGTAGAGTAGGTTCTAGTTCTGGGGGAGCTGTAATGAGCTATGTGGCCTCAGGCATAAGCACTTTCTCTCTGGCATTCTGTTTTCTAATCTGTAAAATGTGGCATTTAAAGATAATTTCATTTGATTTTCATTTACTAAGAAGTGACTATGTGTAGTTGTTATTCCAGTACACCTAAAACATGAGTTCATTTAAGTTACAGTTTGGAGACTGGTCTGATGTGTGGCTGATGTAAGTCAGGACATGCCTCTCTTTAGAAACTAAAGATATTTTTTGTCTGATATAAAGAATTTTCTACAGAGAGATGACCACAGCCAATATTTCTGGAAAACCTCTCTCTCTTTACATCTATTCAGTGTGAGCCATTTAAAACTCCACACAAGAAATCAACCATGTAGATAAAACTGCTGGTCACTGCCACTCTTGGTTTGCTTCTTAAAAAGAGAATTTTCCCTGATATCATGTTTCCCAAAGCTTTTACTCAAAGTGTTTCTATTGAAAAGTTTGAAGAGAAGAAGAAACTCAGAAAACCACAAGCAGGAATTATCTGGCAGAGGTGGGAAATGAGATTTCGACTGCAGCAGTAGAGGAAAACAAACAGGCAGAGCTACAGTGGTAGCTGTGTTGTCTGCAAGGTGTCACACAAGGTGGGAGACTTTGAAACTCCCTGGTATCATGACTACAGAAAGTCTCATGATTTGATGTCTCCCAACAGACATCAGAAAAATAATGAATAATATGAATTCAGACAGGGGTAAGTTTTCTGCTGTAAAGCTACAATAATCATAGTTATGCAAAACTGAGGAAATGATAGACATGTAGATGGATTGGATGGAAATGAGGTCAGAAACAGACCCTAACAAGCTTGATCAGTTGATTTTCAGCAGATGCACAGAACATTCAGTGGAGAGGTAAAGTCTTTGAAAAGTGGTGGAATTCTTGGATATGGACATATAATATTAAAAACATGGACTTCCAGTAACATCTCACACAGTCTACCAAAATTAATGCAAAAGAAATCATAGATTTGAAAAATAAAACCTAAAAACATAAAAATTCTACAATAAGATCTTTGTGGCCTTTGTGACTGAGATTTCTTTGATATGATCCCAAAAACTCAACAAAAATAAATAAAAAGATAAGTTGTACTTCTTCAAAATTAACAATCTGTCATTTGTGAAAGACCTGGTATGAGAATAAGAAGACAAATTACAACCTGGGTAAAGATTAGTTAGAAATTACAGATCTGAAAAAAGTATTTATGTCCAGAATACAAAAAGAACTTGTGATAAAATACTCTCAAATAAGCCCAGTAATAAGGGAATACAATGATTTAAAAAGAAAAAGAGAGCAACATGTTTGAACAAATGCTTCATCAAAGAAGACTCAATAGCAGATAAGCACGGGAAGAAATAGTCAGCATTATTAGTCATTAAGGAAATGTAAATCAAAACCACAAAAAACAAGGGGTCAACATTATGGTGTAGCAGGTTAAGTTGCTGCCTGCAACATAAGCACCTCATATTATATCATAGCATCAGTTCAAGACCTGTCTGCTCCACTTCCAGTGTAGCTACCTGCCAATGCGCTTGGGAAACCAGCAGAAGATGCTTGGGCCCCTGCCACCCACATGGGAGACATACATGGAGTTTCAGGCTCCTGGCAATTGTGGCTTTGGGGGAGTAAACCAGAAGATGGAAGATTTCTTTCTCTGTCTCTCCCTCTTTTTCTGTCACTCTGTCTTTCAAATAAATAAAACATTTTTTAAAAACACAGTGACATATCACCATATCTCTGTTATAATAGCCAAAATTTAAAAGTCTGATAATACTAAGTGCTGATACAGATGTGGAGCTACTGGAACTCACACTCATTATTGTTGGGAACACAAAATGGTACAGATATGCAGGAAAGCAGTCTGACAGTTTCTTATATAGTGATTCATTTACCGCATGACCAGACAATCTCTAGGTATGAACATAAGTGAAATGAAAACTATGTCCACACTAATATCTCTATTGGAATATTTATTGCGTCTTTATTTGTAGTCATCAAAAAACAAAAACAACTTAAAGGTGTCTTAAGTGGAGAGGAAATAAACATTGTAGTCTGTCCATAGAGTGGAATAGTATTCAGCAATAAAAAGGAATGAAGTACTGCTTGCTACAGTATGCATGATCTCAAATACATGATACTCAGTGAAGAAGCCAGACACAAAGGCTGCATCCTCAACAATTGCATTTACATGACAGTTTGGAAAAAGGAAAAGTCCATCCAAGAAGTGGCCTTAAATGTCGATAAGGAGCTGGCATGGGCAGCTGTGTAATCAGCACCTTCCAGAAGAGCTCAATAAGGTCAGGAGCCCTAGGCAAAATGTCACTTCATTAAATAGCAAAAAAATAAGTCAGTGCTTAGCCTGTACTAAAAATTTATAGGAAAGAAAAAGTTCTTTCAGCGAACAAAAATCTGGATTATCGTCTCATATCTGAATTTAGCCTATGCATAATCAAGCTTACTAAATATAGTGGGTAAATATAGATTTAGGGCTACCCATAAAAACTCCAGGGAAAGGCATGGGAGTGGAAATAGAAAGGCAAGGATAGGGCATGAAAGGCAAACATACTTGCTTATAGCTGTGGATCTGTTTGCAACTCAATAATTTCAATGTCACAGAATAACTTTCTCTGTTTTAGGTTTGCTTAGAAGACAGTTGCAAGCAAGTAATAAGTAAAACGAAGGACTGACAAGTTCATCAACATCCAAGTTCTTATTTCACATTCTATGCATTCTAAATTTTACAAGGATGCTTCATTTTATGCAATTCATTTCCTAACTCAAAAATTTACATCCTAAATTAACAAACACATTTTTGATGCTTCTTGGACTGGATCTTCATAGCTTCTTACATGTGCCTGAAGAACAATTTTTTAAAAAAATTGGTTTATCTTTACTGTTATCTTAACAAAGCCAACAGCACTGCTTTAATTTTTGAAGTATTTTCAAGAAATTTAAGAAAACTCTACCTCATATTTATATATATGTGCATTTGTATGACTGATACGATAGCATGTTAGGAGTGATCCTCTATTTACAATTTTAATCTACTATTGCAAATATTTTCAGCTAATCAACAACGAGTTCTAAAGTTCACTTGTGTGTTAAGAACACTTGCCTTATTCATGTAATGAAGTAATATGATGTCAGGAATATTCTTTATTGACAGCAGTTGATGAGTCTCTGTGTTGTTAAGGAAATAGAAGGAGCCTTTGTCAGTTCTCTTAGGTTTACAATAAAAATGTGCAGCATGAAATACCAGCTCGGTGTCTCCTTTACTTGAAGATATTTGTATGTGTCACATGTCAAATGGTGATGAAGAATGATCTTTCCAAGAGCATGTTTTCCCTTGGTCCAAGCAACCCTTATAAAAATGGATGTCACATCAATACAGCAGCCTAATGAAGCCCACCAGGCAACTGTTTACTCTGTAGGGAGAAGCGGGATAAACAGCAACCACATAGTCTCATCTATCAGCTGTTCACCCAGAGCCTTCAGCTCTCCACTCGGGTGCTTCTGCTCATTCTGACCACTCAGTTTGAAATGATCTCCCTGTCTGTCCACATGAATGATCTTACAGCACTGCAGGGCTGGCATCAGATGCCCCCTTACCAACTTCCCTTACTGATCACCTTCTCTACTCTCTGAAAGTAGCCCCTCCCACCTTTGACATACCCGCTGGTCCCTTCCCTTCCCTAGGCCTTTCTTGGCCGTATTTTACCACTTTATCCTACACACACACACACACACACACACACACACGGCCAGACCTTTCTCTACTGTTTGAGCTCTTTATGGGTTGGATCCATATCATTCATTTTTAAATTTTCCACAATGCTTAATAGTATGTCTAATGCATCTCAAGTGCCCAGTAAGTGTACATTGATTAAGTATATAAATTGGTGCTGAAAAGTAACTAGAATTATGGAATCAAGCCTAATAATGTGTGAATTGCCTTTTAAGCAGGGTGGGCAGCAATTGTAAATCCTAGATTGCAGAAATGCAATATGGCTTCCACTACCACCTCTACCCATAGCTCAAAGCAGAGAGTCGTACCTGATCCCAGCATGCTTTTCCCCTGAACTCTGATGGAGCCTCACAGACCTTCTTAGCCCAACACTCTGGGAAGCCTTTATTTCAGTGGAGCTATTTTGCAACTTTACTAATTATTTCAACTGACCATCTATAGAATTATTTGGTATCAATGGAGATAACTTATTAAAGTGGTAGTTTATTGTACTTTGTGAGGAAAGTTATGTTATTGCAGTATTTGCAAATTTACAAGTGACCTCAAAGAAGGTCCCCCACTGATTTCCTTCATTTTATGTCAGCTTCACTGCACTATGGATGTCCACAGTAACTTATTCCTGGATGTGTCTCTGAGCGTTTTTACAGATGAGATTAACATGGAAATCAGTGAACTCAGGAAGGAGGTGGCCCTCCCCAGTGTGCATGGGTGTTGTCCAATCTGGTGCTCTGAACAGAATAAAAAGCTGGAGGAAGGAGGACCTCACCCCTTCTTCATCCTGCTGTACTGCTTAAGCAAGATCATGAGCATTTGCACTGTCAGCTCCCCTGGCATTGGAGCCTTAGGAATGAGCTAGAATCATGCCACTGCCTTTCCTAGGTCTCCAGCTTGCAGCTGGAAGGGTGAGGGATGTAGCCTCCATAACAGTGAACCAGTTCCTCCTGAATCTGTCTGTCTGTCTGTCTGTCTCTCTCTCTCTCAAGAGTAGCTTTTAATTTTTTTCCTAGGAACTATTTATTTATATATTTATCTAAAAGGCAGGGCAACAGATAGGGAGACAGAGATCTTCCACCCACTGGTAACTCCCAAACAGCCACAACAGCCAGGACTGGGCCAAGCCAAAGCAAAAGCCAGGAACTCTATCCTGGTCTCCCACATAGGTGGCAGGGGCCACCATCCCCTGCCTTCCTAGACACATTGACAGGGAGTTGGATCAGAAGAGCAGCACGTGGGCCGGTGTCACGGCTCAATAGGCTAATCCTCTGCCTGTGGCACCGGCACACCGGGTTCTAGTCCCGGTCAGGGCACTGCATTCTGTCCCAGTTGCCCCTCTTCCAGTCCAGCTCTCTGCTGTGGCCCGGGAGTACAGTGGAGGATGGGCCAAGTGCTTGGGCCCTGTACCCGCATGGGAGACCAGGAGAAGCACCTGGCTCCTGGCTTCGGATCAGCGCGGTGCACCG